TTCATTTGTCTCTCTGCCTTGCTTAACTTAAATTTGGTTATCTGAATAATTGACTCAATTAGTCAATTTCTAAAAATATTTAGAATAGAATTTTTGTTGTACATAAAGGTCCTGCTGTAAGAATTAAGAAACATTTTGTCTTTTGTAAACTCTGCTGTTCTTCTTCTAATTAGCATTTTATCATCCTCTAAATTTACACAAGATAAATATTACCTCAATAATAATAATACTGGATATAAAATCACTAAGTATAATTTAGAAGTTTCTGTTGGATATTCTAGCCCATATGGAATTAAGTCTAGAAAAAAATACATTGCACAGACCGTCCCTGGTGGTGCAGCGGGTTAAAGCACGGCACTGAAAAGCTAAGGCCACTTCCACATGAGTTCAATTCCCGGCCTTCTGCATGAGTTTGATTCCCGCCTGCCGGGGAGGTGACCACATGGCTTGGCAGACCTCTCCTGACCCTCCCGCTGCTCCCCTCAGCAGTGTACTTCATTACTCAGCCTGTTCTGTTCCTCACTCTGTCTCTGGTGAAGCCTCTCGCCGCCCCTGAGCCTCTGGCCTGTACCCCAGTTCTGTATGAACAAATAAATAAATCTTTAAAAAAAAATACATTGCACAGGTCTCAACTTTTTTCCTTCCAAAAACAATTTAAACTTACAGAAAAATTACAAGACTAAGTATGGAGAACTTTTAAATATCATTTATACAAATTCACCAATTTTTAATGTGTTGGTTTTATCATTTTCTCTCTCTCTCTAGATATTTATTTTTCCAGAACGATTTGAAGATAGATTGCCCTTCTATCTCTTTATATGTTAGTGTGTATGTACTTGCTAAATAAAAAAGACCTTCCTTTTTATAATCATCACAAAGGTATCAAATGTGGGATCTACTTTTACCTAATCTGTGGTCCATATTTCAATTTTGTCAGTTCTGCTAATAAGCCTTGTATATTTTTTCTCCCTCTCATTTGGTTGCAGTTTAGGCTCATATATTGACTTTAGTTGTCAAGCCTCTTTAGTCCCCTTTAAAATGAAATAAATTTGGGTTTTTTTTTTTTTCTTTTCATGACAGTTCATAGACTCTTCCTCAGTATGGGTTTGGTTAATTGTTTTCTTATGATTAGATTCAAGTGATGACATGTCCTTTTCAGGGTCTCACATGGAGAGATGAAGTCTTGCCTAGTTTTTCCACTATAGTTACTATTTTCCCTTTTTAACATACAACCTGTGCAGAGACACTGGGAAAACATGAAAATATGCTGCTTCTCATGAAACATCCTCCCTCCAACACATACTACATTGATGATTCTCCAAACCAATTTTTTCAACTTTAAAGCAACAGTTTTACCCTTCCCACATTCACTTCTTTCTCTTTCTCCCTTTCCCTTTCAGAATATAAACTTATGGATGCTTATTTTATTTAATGGATCATAATTTATTATTATTTCTATTTTGGTACTGGGTGATCCCAGATTTGGCTAGTGTGAAACCCTTCAAACTAACTCTTTTTGACATGCCTCCCATTTCATGTTTGAGTACTTCCTTATTGCTGGCACAAGATGTTCCAGGTTATCTTCCTGCCCAGCCCTGCTAAAATCAACTATTTCTCAAGGAAACCTGATTCCTTTAAATGGGAAAAGATATTTAGAAGTCAAAACCTAGGCAAGGATTCTTTAAAGTTAGTTTCAATCATAAGATCAAAAGGAATATATATATATATATCAATTTTTATAAAAAAACATTGAACATGGCAAAAATAATACAAAGTGCAAGGCTCATTATACATATAAGCTGCCTAAGGCCAGAACTGTGTTTACAAAATTTTGTAAGCCCAGTATCTGTTATGAGCTGTACATATAGTAGGTGGCATTCAATATATACTAATGAAAAATACTTTTGACTTCAAATTTTATTGGTCACCAGAAGTGATAATGTGCATTTGTGACAGGAACCACCTTGCACAATAGTTTGAATGACTATATTGAATTGGGGGACTGATTTATAATACAGAGTGTAGTTGTGTTCAACTATGAATAGTCCTGAATTCTGCTTTGCTTCCAAAAAAATGAGAAAAGAACCCAAATATAAGATTGGTTGAGTCTATTAACTGTCTCTATCTTGTTCCTGTTTCCACTTAACATTCTATTGAAGTCAAAACTGTTAAACAAAAATACAATAGTAGCTAACATTTGAAAGGTTTAACACAGTGGCTTTCAAAGTATGGTCCAAGGACTCGTGGGGTTCCTGAAATACTTCCTGCTGATTCATAAGGTTTTTTCCCCCTAATATTACTACTTCTAATAATAATGTCATTATTTGCCTTTATCACTCTAGTTCTCTTCTGAGTGGACAGTCGAGTTTTAAGGCCACTTGATGTATGATTTTGAGACAGATTAAGGAAGGAAAATGTTGAGACCGAGCTCCCTCTTGTTTAGACAGTAAAGAAATTTCTAAGAGTATAAAACCATGCTGCTCTTCAATTTTCATGAGAAAATACATAGCCTTTATTTTTAAAAGTGTTATCTGTGTTAATATATAATTGGTTTTTTTTTTAAAAAAGATTTATTTATTCATACAGAACTGGGGTACAGGCCAGAAATGCAGAGGGTGAGAGAATTCACCAGAGATAGAGAGGGGAGCAGAACAGGCAGACTGACAAAGTACACTGCTGAGGGGAGTAGCTGGCAGGTCAGGAGAGGTCTGCCGCACCATGTGGAGCTCCTCTGTGGCAGGTGGGAATCGAACTCATGCAGAAGTGGCTTAAGCTTCTTAGTGCTGTGCTTTAACCCACTGCGCCACAAGGGGGGCCTAATGGGTTTATTTTTAATGACTAAACATTTTTTTTCTAATATAAATATTGGGATAACTCACATGAACAAAAGTTGTCTGAAGTTCTCATTGATTTATTTTAAGAGTATGCAGGAGGGAATGTAAAATGGTCTAGCCACTGTGGAGAACTGGAGGTTCCTCAAAACACTAAAAATGGATTTACCACTCTTAACAATCTACCCAAAGAACACAAAAACACTAATGTGGAAGGGAAACTATACTTCTTGGTTTACTGCAGCACAATTTACAATAGCAAAGATATGGAAACAACCTAATTGTCTCCAAACAGATGAAAAGATCACAAAGATGTGGTATGTATACACAGGGAAATACTACTCAGCTATCAGGTAAATACTACTTAGGTAAACTCATGCCATCTGTGGCAACATGGATGGAAATGGAAGGGCTTATGCTAAGTGAAAAAAGTCAGAAGGAATAAGATAGAACGTGAATTATTTCAATTATATATGGAATATAAATAAAACCAAACAAAGGGTCAGAAAAAACAAAACTTGCAAGCTGACCAAAGACTTGATGCAGATGGTGTGGAGATTTTGGGGGCAGGGTAAAATCAGAGATGGGAAGAGTTATGGGACTACAGAGATGGATCAGGTTGCTATGGTGGTGGGAGATCTACAGGAGAGAAAATACTGTCCAAAAGTTAACAATAATAAAAGAAAAAAAATAAATTAAAAAAAATTTAAATAGAAGAAAAAATTTTAAGAGTGTTAATAGTTCCAAGGCCAAAACATTTGAGAACCAGTGATTTGTGTTCTTACACCTTATTTAATAATTAGCTCAGTTGGTTAATTTTGTATATACAAACAATGACTAAAACTGGGGTTTAATTTCACCAAATCTTAATGTGTATTTGTTTCACATATATGTATTAACGATTTAACTTTTTTTTTTACCTTGTTCTGTGAAAGTTGACATAACTACTACTTCAGGTTACATGAATAACCCACCTGCTCACCCCAAATTTAAAAAGCTTTGCACATAGCATCTCTGACACAACTTGAAATTTTAGTCATCAGAGCTAAGGGACATGTTGTCTAGAAAGGATGCCAAGAGCCTACTAATAAATAGGATTTTTTTTTTTCTGTATCAGCTTTCTCACTTAACAGAGAACAGGTTGTAAATGGAAAAAGACAGAAAGGGAGCACATTTTGACATTTGAGAAGCCAATCAGCAAAGATCCCTCACTATCCTGTAGGTAGATCCACAGAGCACTAGGTGTCCCTCAGGTCAGGTCCGTTTCCCTGCTACAGCATTTCCTACAATTCCTCAGAGACTTAGCCTGCTTCTCCAGAAGGGGTGGAGTTGAGAACAGTATGAATCTCACAGAGTGTTTGTAGACAAACATTGGGGCCTATGGAAAGTGCTAGCAGAGCGCCAGGAACACAACTTGTTGTTCTTAGACTATTGGAAAGAGAGGGTCATTTGAGGAGAAAAAGTTTTGTTTGACTTCACAATTTAACCCAAAATAGTTATGTTGGCCTTTCTTGTTTCCGTGGTCCTAGCCCTTCCACAGCTCCACTAAGAAAATTCTTGAAGAGGAAATATTTATTTGAATGCTCTCTATTGTCATAAGCGGGAGAGAGAGCATCTGTTCAAATCACCACTTCAGAAAGCAACACCCAGAGCTTAAATTCTCCAATATCAGTAGTTTGCAAAGATAACACCTGAAAACCCCATAAGTGGCGGAAGTGGTGAAGTTTCTAAATTCTGAGACGCTTCTAGTCAGGAAATAGGTAAAATATGTAAAATATGCCAGGTGCCTGAAGCTAAATGTAGTTTAAAAGAAAAAACTCACAACTCACTGTGGATGTTTCCTTTTCACCCACTTCTTTTTACCTGCCAACTGGTGAGCAGGTAGCAACGAGAGGTGGCATAATAAACCTCTTACGGACTCCTTAGCCCCTCTGTGTTTGCGCGTGTGTAGAAACCAAAAAAAAACGCGAGTGGTTCTGGGACCCGTAGCTTTCCCGCCTAAATAGCAGAGGGCGTGGCCAGGAGTCAGGGCATGTTTTGAAGTCGGGGCGTGGCCTGGAATCCGGGCGTGGCCCGAGGCGGAGGCAGGTTGCTTCTTTGGCCCAGCCCTATTCCCTGCCCCGCCTTCATGCATTTCGCCACGATCCCGACAGGCCCAGCGACTAGGAGAGTCACGTGAGGGTGGGCGGTGGCGGTGGAGGTTTGTCTCAGCTGTTTGTCCGTCTCGATGGTTGTCAGAAGTGGGCGGTTTTGACGCGGGAGCTGGAGCTTGATCGTGAACGGGTGAGTTCTGAACTCTGAAGAGTGTGTAGACACAGACATTTAGGGAACGGGAAAGGAAGATGAGAGTGAAACAGCTTAAAGGAGTTGACCTCCAGGCCAACTGTCTGCGCCGGGAACCGGCGACTTCTCCGGTACGGCGCATCTCTGCTTACTGATGTGCTCAACTCAGGGGCCTGAGACGAGTACCCACTCCTGCTTGTATTACGTCCTCCGCTTTCCTTCACCTCACCCAGCCCCGGGAGAGCTTTTCCCAGTGCTGGATTCCTAACTACTGGCTGGGTTGACTTGAGCGATCTCCTCGGGGGCGACCGGGAGACACAGGTAGACAGGTTCCTCTGGGATTTATGGATGTAGCTGGAAGAGGGTGAGAGAGTTTAAAGTTAGATCTCTAACGGGAAAAAAAAAATTAATAGGTGAAACCAAAGAAAGTGGAAAATCATTGGACATCCGAAGGAGCAAACTTGGGCTGTTCGGCTTTTATCTTTATAGTGCGGTCGGGTTCTTAATGCGCAGTCAGGTGTTCTTCATGGGTTACGAACGAGCCGGGAGTTAACTCTAAGTGAATGTTCGGAGAGTTTAAAATGGCCTATTTATTTTTGAAGTTGCTATCTTTGTAATCTTACGATTTATGGTTTCTTTACCGCCTTTTTTGTTTTTTGATGCCTAAAACGTATTGTAGGTGTTGTAAGAATAAGTAAAATAACTGTATTATTGCTATGAGATTAGAGCAAAATATTTTACCTTCCCTGTGATATTTAAAAGACCCATTTTCTTGGTTATTTTGTAAACAGATATATCTGGTTAAGGTTTTGGGGGGGGCAGGGGAGAGGAGTGACTTTTTGGAATATACCTGTTTTTAAAGCATCCTGTTGGCTCACTTGTGAAAATAATGTAGCAATAAAGGAGTTACCAGATAAAGTAAAATAGAGGTTGAGAGCTGTAGGAGAGTTCATATTTCATTGAACCTCTTGAACATTTGAAATATATTTTGCCAGGATTACCAGCGTACTATCTTTCTGATGTGAACAAGATAGGAACTTGTTGAATACCACTTTATCCTCAAATGTTTTAGAACCTAGTGGTACTTGTCTGTAAGATGACCTACAGCTACTATCATTACACTTGATAAGTCCCTAATTATGCCTTGCATTTAAGGATATCATTCGGACCATCTGGTTGTGTAAAGAAAGTGTTCTTACTGAAAGTTATAAAATACAAGATGATACTAACAAAAAAGAAGATTCAGAAGTGTGATCTTTCCTTGGGGAGAAAGAGAAAAAATGATAGAAACTTACAGACGCTAGTAAAAGCAAGTGAACAAAATCATGATTTGCTATTTTCCTTTATAACCGATAGACTTTGTACATCCCCAAGGGGTTCCTTTTAGATTGAATTTCCTGTACTGTATTTAAGAATAAAGCAATGGTCTAGCTTTACCACTCTTAGGTATAATAGGAAAACACTAGCAGAAAAAGATTTATGCATTCCCTATTTTTATTAGCAGCATTATTCACAGTACTCAAGACATGAATCAATTTAAATGTCTGTTGATAGATTACTGGATTAAGAAATTGTGGGTGGTATTGGATGCACTATGGTGGTAATATCTGAAGGCCCAATATTCTGTTAAAATAAACGATTATTTTTAAAATGCTGTTTATTTTAAAAAACAAGTTGTGGAATATATACTCAATGGAATACTATTTAGTTATTAGAAAAAGTGAAACAAAGACTTCAGGACCATACGAATTTTCAAGGTGATCAGGCTAAGTGAAATAAGACGGAGAGTGAAAAACAGTTACCAGATAGTTTCTCTCATTTATAGAATATAAAGAAGGAAATAGGAAAAACACAACAAAAATAACTCTTAGGCTCTGAAAACTGGTGGTGACTAGCAGAGAGAGGAAGGTGGAGGATGTGGACTAGATGGTGTAAGGTGATGATGTATTGGTACTGGAGCTTTGATGGAGGGAACATGAAATGTGCATATATTGAGATGTAAAGTTGTTCTACCAAACTTACATGTTTTTGTAAATAAACAGTAAATCAATAACGTTTTTTGATAAAAAAAAATCACATAGTATCTAACTTTTCCAGTGATATTATATACTAAAAACAGAAAGATTTAGGTGGCACCTGCAGCCCTTATTAAGAAGTATACAACTAAATAACTGAAGTTATTAAACCTAATTTAGCCATTTTAAGTCATTAGTTCTACTTATTGAGAAATTTTTACAATAATTTAAGCATTTCCTGAATGTTAACCTTTTTTTTTCTTATAGAGTTAGAGTTGTTTAATATATTCCTTTTAAAAAGAGAAGTTATAAAAATAAAGTTTAATCACAACGTTCTTATCTACTTAAAATGAGAACACTTCAGTTTGTGCCAAGGGAAGAAGTTGATTCATTTTAGATCGATGTTCTACTCAGATTATGAGGAAATTATAAATGCTTTTAGGATATTGAATATTGACATATGCAGGGGAAAAATGCAGGGGTAGTATTTTTAAATGTTTTGCATTTCCTATTATAAATGTAATATGTGCTTATTTTTGGAAAATGGAGACATAGAAAATATGGAATTAAAAACCAAGGTCCTAATTTATCTTGCCCCCTACCACCAGGTAACTGTTAGCTCTCACTGCATTATCTGGACATCAGTATGAGTGTGGAAGGGTAGTTAGGAGTCTGGAGTCATTCTTTGGGAAAGAATGTACTAGAAGAAAAAAAAACTTATCTTTTTCTAGTATTCTACCCAATCACTTTATGTGAGTATCAGTATCCTGACTTAAGTCAGTGTCCATTGTAGAGGCATCTCTGGGTAGAGTGAGGGAATATTTTGAGGGGCCAGGATTAGGTAATGTAACTGTGTTGGAATGGGCAGAAAGGAATACAGTTTCAAACCAGGTGAAAGAAGGGTAGGTAATGTATAGTGCTTAAAAGAAAATTGAGCTGTCATTTTCTGGAGAAGAGAGAATGATTTCTGTACAGGCAGAAAAAATAGCTGTTCACTAAAATAATTTTACATGTGTTAGTTTTTTTAATTAAAAATTTGCTTTTCTCAATATAAATTAATTGTATTTTACAGTCTTTTTTCCTTTTTTATGGCTATTTTTATTAACTAATGTCACTGAAATGTAAACTCTTTCAAAACATGTTTTGCACTATAATTAGACGTTTTACCCTTTTCTGGAGTAGGTATTCAGAATACATATTTGTTATAATTGATTATTGATAAATATTGCTATTTCTGGAAATCTTGATTGACAAAATCCAGCTTATAAATAGTAAATAAAAAGTTTTAAATATTTACATGTATATATTCAAAAGGATTATGTTTGAGTCTTTTAGTTCCATATTTTAAAATCTTTCTGTGTAGAAATCACTTCATTTTGAGTTTTATATGAAAAATAAATCTCTAATTGTCACTAATTGCTGTCACTGGGTGTTAACTTAAAAAAATATTTAGTGTTAATGTCTGGTTTTGCATTTTTATAGATTATTGTGTATATATTAAGCAAAAATATAACTGAAGTAACATATAGTTTACTCCGCTTTTGTTTTCAGTTAAAAGGAATGTTAGTGCCCTAACTCAGTGGACATTTGAACTTTAATTGCTAACATTGGAGGCATAGGCTTTAGTTTGAATAGACATTTATATTCTAAAAACCACCGTCCATCACTTCTTGATGTTGAACAAATTAATTTCTGAATTGAGTTTATTCCATTTGCAAAATAGAAATGGTAATTCCTATCTCATAAGGTCTTGTGAAGATTAACTTAATGTATGTCAAGTGCTTGGAATGGACTAGATTCTAGTAAAATGTAACTGTAAATAATAACATGTATGAAAGATTTTTATTTTGCAATTTCAGAATGTAAACAGGGAATTTAAGATATTTACTCTGAGGGATTAACTAGATTGTTGTTCAGTTTGTCTTGATTCTAGCAGGTTTTTAAATTCCATGTTTTCTATGTGCATGTGTGTATATATATATATAAAACAGTAAACTAGAAAATTTGTTTGAGCTACATAATTATTAGTGAAGTGCCTGTGTATTAAAGGATTGCCTAATTCAACTATGATAATTATCAGCCTGGGGACAGGATTGAGAGTGTTTTATACAGACAGTAGCTCAATAAAGTTTAATGTTAAATGGAAGATAATGTTCCTTTACTATACAAGGCATTGAATACCTTGAAAATTTAAACCAGAATGTATGCTAACTTGATTATAGGCAAAAGTGATAAAAGGAATTTGTTTCTATTTCTAAGTATAAGGTTAGGGTAATAGTTATGTGAAGAAGTAATTCTTTGAGAACATGATATGATATGCTGGACACCTGCGGGTGGAAGAATGTTACTTTAGAATGTTACTTGAAAAACCCAAAGATGCAACAATGGAAATGTACAACTGTGAAAAGTAATTAATATTAAATATAACTAATGATCTAGAATTGGGTACTTCTACATTGCTGCATTGGGAGGAGAGGTATGTTAGTCCTGTTTCTGAGAAGAGAAACAATGATTAATGAATTAGACGTTCTTCCCCAAAAAACTAACAGTGATCATTACAAATTTTATGCAAATCGTAAATAGTTCCTAGAATAGCTAATACTAAGGTCAAGGTGAATTTTGCTAACTAGGACAAAGTTGAAACAATAAGCTTTGAGAACTGTATCTTCAGTTTTGAGGTGAGGTATACAAATAGTATATTTATTTCTCTTAGTAATTTAATGCCATATAAAACTTTAACTTCCTACTCTAATAACCTTACATGTTCGAGTTAGACAATTACTTGGTATTAATTTATAAACACTACAAATTTTTGCTATTTAAAGTTTGTTTATTGAGTATAGAATTAAATTATTATGCTTTTCTTCCTTTTTAAACAACTGTCAGTAATTTGTCTACTACTTTAGCAGGGTTAAGTGAGTCTTCTATAACCTTGTACATAATGGGCATTAGAGTCTAACTTTAATATATCTTCCTATTTTAATT